CTGAGGGCCTCGCAGCCGCCGGCAGCCCATAACCATCTGACACACGCATACTTTTGCGGTCGCGGCCCTGCGCGCAGCGACGAGGCGGAGCCAGGCTGAAATAGCGGGCCACGCGCGCGGGGTCGCCGGCGCGGCCACGCGCACGGCGACGCACACACACACACATACACACACACAGACACACGCGCTCGCGCGCGAACGCACAGGCAGGCCCGAGCAGAGGCGGCGAGGAGCACGACGAGAGAGGGAATGCTGAGGAGAAGAAGCCTTCCCTCGAAATCTCAAAAGGCGGAGGAGTAGATGGAGGAGGAGGAGGAGGAGGAGGAGGAGGAGGAGGAGCAGCAGGAGGAGGAGGAGGGGGGGAGAAGGAGGGGACGGACGGAGGAGGAGGAGAAGGAGAACGTCCCCGGGCCCCAAAACAGTGCGGTAACGGAGAGTGCTGTGACCACGAAATCTCACAAAATTTCACCCCACAGTCCGTCACCGCACGGTTTCGGGACCCTGGAGGCCAAGGCGCCCGAGACGTCCTCACAAAACGACCCGCGTCCAAAAACAAACCCCGAACCGCCACTGACTCATCACACGGTGTGGTCACCGCAACTTTTTGGGGCCCGCGACATTCTCCCTCCTCCTCCACCAGCTGGGGGGTGGAGGGTGGGGGGTGATGGAGGCTCGGGGCTTGGGCGTTCTTCAACATGTTCGGACGCGTTGAGGACTTTCTGGAACCTCCGAATGGCCTTGGGTGAAGATGGTAATGGCAATGTTGTGCTGGATCTTCGGAAAACCTTGAAACAAATCTGTCCGGTCGAGCTGCTGTCCGCGTCGAATCCATGCCGAATTTGCGTCAAATTCGCGCATCAGCGCGGAACCCGCGTCGGAAATCAGAAAATATTGCAACTTACATGCCAGACGAGGTCCCCCGAAGATACGGCGTGAGGCAATCTAGGTAGACGGGGTAAGACTCATGTTTGACGAATCCGAAATTGCCTGACGAAACCCTCAGACAAATGGCGGACCGAATCTGAATGTGTGACGACGTACCGGTGCAAGCATCTCACGAACAATGAACCGTCAAAACGCACGTCGAGACAACCAAACAGCAGCGGGAAAACTGGAGTTCTGGCACACTCTCGAGTCTTACGTTACCCCGATATTCGGAGGCAACTCCTGGAAGGTCTTTGTTATGGCAGCCAGAGGCAAAGAGGCAACCAGCCATGATTAAGGAGGCGGTGCTAGACGGACAAGACGGGAGTGAGCCCAGAATTGAGCCCAGGATAAGCAGGATTCAGCCCAACGGGATTACGCAAGATAGGCCAGACGACGCTGAATTGACCCTGTGATCGGACTGTACAGTAAACGCGAATATCTACTATGAGAGAAACGATTCCAAAAAGGTAGGGGCCCTGGATATGTTGATCCGCGTTCGGTTTCTGGGGCCATTCATGGGCCCCCTGATCGTCAAAGTCCGCTCATGCTGAAGAGCTGGTCCACAGGGTCTGGGACTGGTTTCCCACAGGACGCCTTTCCTTCATGGCCAAGTTTGAAACATCTTTTCCTCGAGTGTCCGCTCCTCTCTCCCTCGTTCTCTCTCTCTCTCTCAAACAACGCCTGCAAGAGATGTGCCAACTACACAGGCTGGAGTTGCCGGTATTTCAACACCAGGGAGGTGGAGGCTTGGCGTTCACATTTTCCAACTCCCCCTCTCCTCCTTTCCACTCCGTTCCCTTCACCTTCCTAATCCTCCTCCTCCTCCCTGGCCTCCTATTAACTCCCCAGACCTCATCATTATCTTTGCTTATCCTACCTTCTACCGTCTGGATATCCTCGTACTCCTCCTCCAACTCCTCCTCTTCCCTCTCCTCCTTCTCCTCTCTCCTCCTCATCATCCTCACCGCCTTCTCACCCTCATTGTCATCCTCGTGTTTATGCTCCTCCCCTCGTTCTTCCTGCCGTCTTCCCTCCCCCCACCCTGGAAAATGCCAGAGCCCTTCTCGACTGAAGCCTACTGTGGAAGCTATCCAGCAGACTCTGGCAAGCCCGTCATTCAGGTCGTCCAACTTCGCGCGTCCCGCCCAGCGATGTGCGACGCGCGGCTGTCTTCGCGCCCTCGCGCCGCCCTGCTGTTCGGCTCAGGCTGCGACGCGCGAAGCGCGGTTGACGCCGGGCGATCTAGGTTGCCGCCGGGCGGAGAGAATGCAGGAGCATCGCCGAGAGGAGCCAAAGAGAGGAGGGGGGACAAGAGGGTGAGCGCGCAGGCGTGGGAGACAGCAGAGGACACAAAGTGATGGCGGGTCTCCTGGATTATCTACACCTTCCCGCAGGGCACTTCGGCGAGTGCTTGACGACCCAGCGCCAGGTCAGGTTTATCCTGGCGTGCACTTCGGCGCCCTGGCTCTGTTCCCACCTCCAGTCCATCAGCAAGCACAAGTGGTGGGCCATCCCATGCTTGTTCCAACGAGTCATGCTCATGTGTATTGAGTTCGTCTTGGAGATTGGAGTGCCTTTCCTCCTCACACACCTTTCCAAATCGGCTCACAGATTCTCCGATCACCAGTCGGTCTCATCAATGCATCAAGGTCATTTCTCCATCGCGGGCTTACTTATCGGATGCCCAACACTCTGAACTTATGCGAGGTGCTCCGTTCCTTCACACTAGCCCCTGCGTCGCTAACGCAATGTTCGTGCCCACTTGCATTGGTGATTGCCCAGGTTGCAGCATGCGACGACTCTTCACACTGGTCCCACTGTGACAAGGACGTGGTCAAAAAGAAGGCCTCGTTATTGCTGCGCCCGGGCATCATTCCTGGATGGGCCGGTGTGGAAACGCGAAGCGTCAAAAGACTTCTCTCAACGAGGGCCCTTCACGGGGCAGGGCGGCAACAGCTGGGGAGCCGCCCAGAGCGAAGGCGCCCCCGCCCCCCGGGGAGGGTTGCGCAACGAGGGGGGAAAGGCGCCACAGAAGGAACACACTCGAGGGCGGCGGGCGGGGGCCGGGAGGGGGAGGAGGGGGTCGCTTTCGCGCCCGCGTGTCGGTCGGTCTGCTCTCACGGTTCCCCTGGCCGCGCAGCCTCTCCGAATTCACTCTGAAAGGGCGGGGAACCGGAAGGCGGAGGGGTTCGCATCGCAGGGTGAGGCAGCAGGCTCGACATGCAGCTGCCCTTTGCGACGATCAGGGACGCGAAGACAAGCCGCCAAGAAAATAAGCACAATCATGACACCCTTGCGACAGAAGACCCTAAACAGCTTTACAAAACTACATGGGGACCACGATGGGGGAATCGGTATAGGGATTAGGGGCAGGGGTAACGATTAGGAATATCACGTGGGGCTAGGAATGCAAGGGTACGGATATGGGGATAGATCTACTAGTAATTTGGATGGGGATGGGATAGGGACAGGGATTCGGATGGCAATTAAAACGAAGGTAAACACAACGTGAGAAATGCAGATTAACTGACGCAGAGACAGGTCCGTTGATACACGCGTCTCACAGGGCGTCTGGTTGCGAGCGGAACGACAAACCGGTTGTGTGAGATACAAACGGCTCGAGCTGCCGGACAAACATCCACCAGCCTTGTGTGGGTCCAGATTCTACGCTGCGCGACGTGCTGCTCACCCCTGTGCTCCAGCAGGGCCTAACCCCCCAGAAGAGAGGGGGGGGCGCATGAAAGGCCTGGGCATGCCAACGGCCTCCTCATCTGAGTTAATGTGCAGCTGGGCAGAGACTGCCAGCTCCGAGCACTAGCATGTACCACCCCCTCCCCCGTCGTCCGCGCGAAGGTCGGGAAGGGGTGATAGGAGGATGAGAAGGAGGAAGGTGCAAAGAGGTGGGAGGAGAGGGGAGGAACACGAAGAAAGGAGGAGGGAACAGATGGGCGAGAGGGAAGACGAGGATGGGGAGGTTGCGAGGAGGGGACAAGGAAGAAGAGGATGCACGTGAGAAAGAGAGAAAGAGAGGGAGGCATAGAAGACGAGGATAGTGTGCGTGACCCCTAGGGCCCTCGAGGGCCCCGAAAAGCCGACAGCGAGTCTGATCATCAACGATCAGCGGCCGGTCTGCGCGCATCGGGCCCCCAGGCCTCGGCACACAACGTCACGTATCGCGCCGCTCGACACGCAAGGCACGCACATCGTAGCGTTCTCGAGCAGACCCCTGGAGGAATGCACCTCATCCAGCCTAGACCGCGAAGCGCAGTTATCTTCTCGCCCCTGAAGGCGACCGAGCAGATCCAAAGCCGCGCGCGGAGGCGAGCATGTTCATCGCCCGCGTGAGACAACAAAAACGCGACGCATAGACTGTTCGGGGGGTCTGCGGCAAGTTGGGCCCAACAAGCAGTCGGGCTAACGGCAGGACGGAGGATGCGGCCGTGGACCGGCCACAGAACAGTCAGACCAAGTAGACATTCAAGAAAATACGACGCACAGACCTTTCCAACCACTGCTGTCTCATTCGACGGACAGCCCGAGATAAGGCCAGTCGTGGGCCGGCGAGGGCACGAGGGGAGCTCTGCTCGAAGCCTGCTCCCCTAATGGGGGGGGAAGTGACTCACGTGGGGGAGACCAAGATGGTAGATGTTAGCGCAATGGAACTCGCTGCACGCTCCCCACGTCGAGGGACTGGCTCAGGGGTGGAGACATCGACCTGGAATCGGCGACACATCGCCGATAGATCGGCGATTAGCCCCCCGATAGCGAACCCGCACGTTCCAGGGCGGGGCTGGCTATCAGCCTTATCGGCGATCAATGGGCGAATGGGTGTCGATGCGTCCATCCTGGAGCCTATCCCGCCCTAACGTTGCCCCTGACAGGTAGGCCTTTTTTTTTATATATATATATATATATACATATATATATATATATATATATATATATCGTGGTCTCTCGGTCCCGCCCGTCCCGCAGGATCCTGGGTCCGTGTATGGCGCCCTCCTTGGGCACCCTGTGCAGCAGGTGCTTCTGCGTCATGCCCTCCATCGTCATGAGGTCCCCAGGCCCCAGCTTCAGCGACAGCTCGCCCTCCTCGCCTGCAGCCGCCGGCGGGCGCGCCCCCCAACCGGGGCAGATCAAGCGGGCACAGAGAGAAACAAATATGTGCGCCGCCCCAGCAGGACAGAGGCGTGCTTCAATCTCCAGCGAGGGTTCCAGAATATCTATCATTCGCGTGCGTGGCAGCCCCTGGGGGTCCCACTACGAAAATGACTTAAGGAAGGTCCCGCCACGGATGCGGGAATTCCCAGGAGCGGTCTTCAGGGCGCCCCAGGAGCGCGCCCAAGTCCTCATGGGTACTCCGAGGGCCCAAGAGTCCAGGTCAATGAGTAGCAGGCCCGAGACGGCCCAAGAAGGTCTCAAGATAGCCCCAAGATGGTCCCAAATACCCCAAACAGTGCTTGCATATAGAGGTTATGACTTGTCTTTCCAAGGAATTGGATTAGTCCGCAGAGGTGTCGGCCGAGTGGGCCACAAACAACAAGTTGTTGCACTGCGGATGTTTCAGATCTGCTGTGCAAATATGCGATGAAAAACTATGTTGTGCAAAATGTGTGTTGCAAGGTATGTAGTACAAGCGATGTGTTGCAAACTACGTAGCGTAACCCATGCGATGGCGGTGCAACATATATGAGGCGTAAGCTGTGCGATGAAAACTGTGCGGTACTAGTATGAGCAATGCCGTACAAATTGAGCGTACACGCTGTCTGACGCAAACGGTGTGGTTCAAGGTATTACCTCGTCTGTATCAGCGGGTAGCTTTGCACGAAACTGTGCCCGAAAATCTGCCCGACCCGAAAGAATCTGCCCGAGCGTAACAATACGATGGTAAACGTCTGTCACTCTTTCGGTCACCCTGCGTTTTCGGTCACCTTGTTGTTTTGGCCACAGACCATGTCTGGCCGCCAGGGGCCCGGCGCCAGAACAAAAAGCTACACGGCGGAAGCCACGTGGTGCAGGCTGTGTAGTGAAAGCTGTGTGGCCACCAAGCGATCGAGGCGCCCACGAGGTGCCAACTGGCGGGCGGCCACGGGCGGAATCCGGCGAAACCTCGCCCCACCCACCCAGCGAACGACGAGGCGCCCGCGGGGCGACAACGGGCGGCGGCGGGCGGACTCCGTGCGAGACCTCGCCAAACCCGCGCAGCGCACGAGGCGCAGAGAAGGCGCTCACGGGCGGGCGCCAGGCGAAGTCTCGCAACACCCATCGGGCACATGAGGCGCCACGAAGCGCCAACCAGCCAGGTACCAGCCGAGAACCCGCAGCACCCATCCAACTCTTTGGGAAAAACGAGCAAGAATCCTGAAGGCAGACACCGTCTGGGGAATAGATTTCTGGAGGTCCGCGCGGATCTCGAGCATGCACGGCCAGGGGGGTCCAGGGCCGATCCAAGAAGTCCGCGCGGACCTTCGAGCATGTATGCTTACCCATCGGTCGGAAGAAGTAGGTAAAAACATGAAGTAGGAAGGCGTTGGAAATAGATTGGGTTTCCGCCCTCCTCCTGAAGAGGAGGGAAGAGGGAAAACCCCTCGACTCTTGAAGCAGGAAGGCGCTCGAAGTAGATTGGAATCTGGGGGTCCAAAAATACCTACTTTCAACGACCGATGGGTATGCCTTCTGTATCCCGCTGCTTGAGGGCCAGAGGCTCCTTGGGACTTCCAGGAAGGCAATGCCCTATGAGGAGGCCCGGGTTTTCTCAGAAGACCTCCAGCCTGCCGAAAGGCCCCCTGCGGCGTCGGAGAAGGCCCAGGACGCGTTTCAAAGACCAGGGGCCTCATGAGCTTTCTATAAGCCCAAACTCCCCACGTCAACGTGGACCCCCAGACGTCTCAACCTTTTCCCCCAGATCGGCATTTCATCCTGAGTAGCGTCCTAGGGGGGGGGGCAAAAAACCGAAGCATCATCCTTTCGTTATTTCGCCATGACGCTCCAGCACATCCCGAACAACCTCCTTTTCCTCCTTTTCCTCGCACCTCCCCTTCCCGTGCTGTGCCTCAATTCGCGTCGTATGTGTCCGTGCGTATTCGAGGGCCTTTGAGGGCCACGTTCGCGCTTTCGAACTGGGATGGCAAGCAAAAGTCGTACAGGATGGGCCGAATGGCAAGGATGCAAGGGTAACCTTCAAAAAATGTTCGTCCTCACTATCCGACTTGACTGCAAGGACACACTCGAACACCTGAGCAAGGATGCAAAGCAAGGCTGCACCAATCCTGAGTCCACAGAGCTGGTAGGAACTGTCGGGTGAGACGTTAACAGGCAACACTAACACAAGAGAGCACGGGCCGAACATGCGAGGATGTATCGGGGAGACGTAAGACCCGGGTACGGGGGACTCGGAAATCCCCGACGAGGTCGTCAAAAAAATGACGAGGCCGAGCCTGCATTTTGACGAGGCCTCCCGCTGCAGACATCCCACGAAACTCCTCCTCGTCAAAATCCGAGTCGCAGTCGTCAAAAAAACGATGGCGAACCCGAGTCCCGGCAAACCCAGGTCTTACGCTCCCCCGAATGTAGGGGAAGCCTTCATGAAGTATTGTATCCCTGCCCCCTTGGTCGACAGGAGAAGGAGGAGGGAAGACGACATGCGGATTAGGAAGGCGAGTGGGAGGTCAAGATGAGACAATAGCACAACTTACGATTAATGTTTCCCGACTTGGCGAGAAGGAAGAGGTGGAGGAAGCATCCTCAGCGTCTCTGATCCTCGGTCCAGGGGAGGAGTTCGCGACAGGCTGCATCATTGTCGCAATTGCTGGAGTTGGTGGTTCGTCGCTTGTGGCTGACTTTCCTCCCGCCCAGATCTGAGGCGGGAGATCCAATATCGGCCTTCGCTCGCGATGGGGGTCGCGCGGCACACCTGTTAGCCCGAGAGCACTCACCACATTGTTGTTGCTCAGGCGAGGGCCCGCAGGGATCTCCAGAGGCCCCTTGCTTGCCCCATTGTGGATTGGATTGGCGTCTGGTGGCGCCAGTGGTGGGGGCTCCAGGAGGACGGCTTACACGGCTGTGCCTCGTCGGTGGGCCGAAGGCTCAACTCTGGCGCCGCCTGCTTCCCCCGCCCTCCCGCCCTCACTCCCTGGCCATGTGGTCTGGTGCGTCGGCCTGGAGGTTTCCTCGGGGTCTCTCGAACGCCCCGACGCAGCAGCAGTTGTGTGCGTTACCCGACAGTCAATGCGGGCGCAGTGGACCATCCCAGGGTGGCGGAAGGCCACCAAGAATTCCATTTCTGGTGGTTGACAAGTGGAAGAGCTTGGCGCGGGGAGGTGAGGGGAAGGGAAAGAGAGGAGGCGCGAAGCCGGCAACGCGCGCAGACGCCACGCGTACCGTCATGGAGCAGAGCGCCTCCTCTTGGCTCGCAGCGTTTCATGGGCCATGCGGGGTTTTCTGCTTCACCGAGTCGGCGATACTCCTTTTGCCAGGAGGCATCCTCGAGGAGACGTGGGAAGGGCGTCCGCGAGGCCACCCCGCAGGGCATGTATGCTGCCGCTGGCGCATGTTCCAAAATAAGATAATCGGCGTGAGCCAGAGCCTAGCTACTGGAACGGCGTTTTGGATCGCACCTGCTTCCGAAAAATGGCGCGAATTTCTCAAACACTCTTACTGCCTCCACACTTGATTAAACGAACGGAACAAAAATGGGCGGGAAGAGTTGAACAAGGCTAAACATGTAGAAAACGAACGCAAGGCGGGGCAAACTGGACCGCCAGGGACGTCCACGCGTTCGCCCGGGCCCAATGCGTTCAAGGGCAGATTCCTGCGCACCCACTTTGGGAGTCAGGCCGCGCCTGCCGCGCCAAGCGGGTCGCGGGAGTGCTACACCTGACACGCCCTGCGACCTGGAGCCGACCGTGACCGCGCTCAGGGGCCACTCCATGCACGCCGTACATGGTGCCGAGAAAATGTTGGCGCCAGCTTTGCCGCGTAAAAGGGCAAGGCTGGCAAGGCTGAACAACTGTTTCAATTGCGCCTTGGGCCTCAACATGAGAAGGTGCATTCGTGATCCACGCGCGTCCCCAGTGTAACGCGCACAGCACGGGTGACGCACCAATTGGTGGATCACAAGAGAATGGGTTGAGAGAAACAACCCGTTACACTTGCATCATGGGCCTCAACATGGGCTGGTGCATTCGTGCTAGATACGTTTCCCCTGCGTAGCGCGCACCGCACCAGTGACCCACCAGCGAGCCGGCGGGTCACCCCAGGAAAATGAGGAAACAAGAAAAACGTTACATTCGCATTTTGGGACTCCGCATGAGTTGGAGCGTTCGTACTCCACACGCCCCCTTTGTGCAACGCGCATTGCACAACTGACCCACCAACGCGTGGGTCACCTCAGCTCTGGCTTAGACAGAACAGCCGGTGAACTTACATACTGGGCCTTGACATGGGCAGGTGCACTCGTACTCCACACGTTTCCCCTGTGTAGCGCGTGCCGCACAGGTGACCAACCAGCGACGGTGTCACCAGAAAAAGGGTTGAGAAAAAGAATTGTTTCAATTGCGTTGGGCCTCAGCATGACTTGGTGCATTCGTAATACACACGCTTCGCCTGTGTAGCACGCACCGAACAAGTGACCAACAAGCGACTGGGTCACCCGGACATTGTTTGAGAAAAGCTAAGTGTTTTACTTGCGTTGTAAACCTCAGCATGACGTGGTGCATTCGTAGTCCACACGCTTCACCTGTGCAGCGCGCGCAGCACATGTGACCAACAACCGGCTGGATCACCAGACGCTTGCTCCAGAATAGAAACCAAACAAAGATGCTGCAAGACCATCGTTGGCCTCAGAATGAGCTGGTGCAGTCGTACTTCACACGCTCCCCTGTGTAGCAATCGCCGCACAAGTGACCCACCAGCGGGTGGGTCACCCGAAATCTGGGTGAACATCAACAAATTGTTTCACTTGTGTTGGGCCTCAGCATGAATTGGCGCACTCGCGCTCCACACGCTTCCCCAAGACAGAGCGGCCGCACTAATTACCCACCATCGGGTGGCTCATTCGATAGGGGGGGGTGAGAAAAACGAACCGTTTAAGTAGCATCGAGGGCCTCAACCTGAGTTGGTGCAGTCCTACTCCACACGCGTTCCCTTATGTAGCGCGCACCGCACAAGTGACCCACCGGCGGGTGGGTCACCCCAAAAATGTTCTAGAGAAAACAACGTTTGCACACATTCTGGGCCTCAACATGAGCTGGTGCACTCGTACTCCACACGCTTCCCCACTGTAACGCGCACCGCACAGGTGGCCGTTCACCAACGGGTGGGTTCCAAAACACGTCGCCAAAAAAACGATCGTTTAGTTTTCATTTTGGGCGTCATAATGATCTGGTACATTCGTACTACACGCGTTTCCCCTGTGTAGCAGGAGCCGCGCAGGTGACCCAAAAGCGGGGGGATCTCCAGAACACTTCTTGCGAACCACGAATTGTTTGTCGAGCACTTTGGGCCTCAACATGAATTGGTGCATTCGCACTCCACGCGCAAGCGCCGCAACGGGGACTCAGCAGCGGGTCGCCGAAAAGCTGGTCGAGAAAAACGGACCGTTCCAATGAAATGTTAGGCCTCAACATGAATTGGCACAGTCGGGCTCAACACGCTTCCCCTGTGTAGCGTGCACCGCCCACGTGACGCACCAGCGGTTGGGTCACCCGAAAATTATGTTGATAAGACATATTGTTCAGCTGCACTCCAGGCCTCTGCATGGTTTGGCGCACTCCGCACGGTTCCCTTGTGCAGCGCGCGCCGCACAAGTGACCCTACCAACGGGTGGCTCACCCCAAAAAAGGTTCACCGGCAGTCAGGGCTTCAACATGAGTTGGCGCATTCGTACTCCACGCGGCTCCTTCATGTACAGCGGGTGGGTCACCCGAAGGCTGGTAGAGAAAAACAGCTATTTCGCGCTTTCTGGGCCTTGAGATATATTAGTGCATTCGTATTCCACACGCTTCCTAAATTCAGCGCGCATCGCACAAGTGACCCACCAGCAGGCGGGTCACGGAAAAACTGGTTCCCAAAACCAGCCGATCCACTGGCATTCAAGTCCTCAACATGAGTTGGCGCACTGATCTTTCACGTGCTTCCCCTGTGTAGCGCGCATTGCACGAGTGACCGGCGGTTGGGTCACCGAAGACTGATGTCGAAAAACAAGTTGTTCACTTCATTTTGGGCCTCGATGCACGCTTCACATGTGCAATGCGCACCGCACAGGTGACCCACCTGCGTGTGGGTCACAGCACAATTGGTTGAGAGAAAAAAATTGTTCCACTGGCATCCAGAGCCTCAACATGAATTTGTGCATTCGTAGTCCACTCACTTCCCGTGTGCAACGCGCACCGCACACGCGACCCACAAGCAGGTGTGTCACCAGAAGATTAATTCTGAAAAAAACAACCGAATAATGTTGCAAACGCAGTATGTTATTCAGCATCAAATGGTGCATTTGGGCTCCACACCCTTCCTTCGTGCAGCGCGCACCACGCAAGTGACCAACCAGCGGTCGGGTCACGCGAAAACGGGTAGAAGAATCCGATTGTGTCTCTTACATTCTGGGCCCCAACATGAGCTGGTGCATTCGTGCTCCACACGCTCCCCCTGTTTAGCGCGCACCGCACAGGTGACCCACCAGCATGTGGGTGACCTGAAAAATTGCTAAAAAGAACAAACTGTTTCACTGGCGTTCGGCCCTGGCCCAATGCGCTTGGAAAACAGACGCGCGAACCCGGGAAAAAACGCTGGACACGTAAACCAGCATCGAAAACCGCGCGGAAGCGAGGCGCGCGCGGTGGCGCTTGGCCCATCTGGTACCGAAGACTCCCGAGCGCGAAGACCGGACGCCAACGCGCGCACGCTCGCGCACGCCCGCACGCAGATACTGTGTCCCAGAAAGATGACAAGTCCTTACTCGTCAACCAAAGCCTCCTAAACATTGGGGCACACAAACAAGTCGAGACGCGCTTGCCAGCAAACGCGAGTGCATGCGTATGCATGAGTGTTTATGCATACTTCTATACCTACATGCATGTGTATATACATATATGATTTCATGATATAGCAGCGTTCATTGTCCAGCTAGTATTTCCGAAGGGGGGCAGGAACAAAAATGGTCGCGGCGAATTATTGAAACTTGGGAAGTGGGGGGACCTGGGGAAGTCATCAATTTTCAACAAGTCCTGGACATTACTGGAACTCCTCTTCCCCGAGCCGGGCTTGCCGCTGCCGCCTGACTCCGGCCAGTTGTACCGCAGCTGGAAAGATCTGGTGACGCCTCCCATCCCCCGCGCGCACGCAGAGAGATGGCCGCACCCTCGCTCGTTCCTCCGAGCGGCACTACGAGAAACCACTGCAAACGAGGGACAAAACACACATACGTGCACACACACACACGCACACACGCACACGCACACACGCACACACGCACACATATATGCAAAGCGTCTTTGAAAAGAGGAGGTGCACGTTGCACGTCAGTTTGAGAATTGAAAGCGTTAAGAGGGAGCGGCCAGTGGAATCACACCTGTGGTCTGTACGTCGAGCCATGCTCTGTTGGCAGGCGCAAAACACACAAATCCACTTCCTTACCAAAAGCGGATAAGCCTGCCACTTCCTCTATCAACCAACTGGCTGTTCGAATTCTGTGCATATCATATGCCGTCGAAGTGTGGGACGCATTGAGAAAAACTCAAAAGCGAGCCACACAAATCCACAACCCGTGTCAATGACCCCACTCAGGCTGGCTGTTGTATGTTGACCGCTGCACTTCTGCAGCGTGGATTGCAGGAGCGCGCAGAAGGAACCCAGCAAGAGAAACGATCGATGCAAATGCACCCGATCTCTTTGGCAGGGTCGCAAGCCAACCACACGCGCAATCATTAATATAGTGAATGGGCAGCCCACGTGCTGCCAACTAGAAATTGCATGCCTGTGCCTGCACGAGTGCTTTTGCACAGAGTCCTACTGAGCGTGAAGTTGAAATCTTTGCGTACCTGACGGTGAAGAGGCCCTAGCAGAGCGGCGCTTGTCTTGGGAAGCTCAATGTCCCAACGACCCACAGAGATAGCATGTGTCGGTTTTACAACACGCCCATGATATCGCCTTATGATGGGGACGATCCGAAACGCACAACTCTGCCCTGCCCACTACTGAGATACGACGCACCGTCCTGTCCAATGCAGTGGGCAACAATTAGGTGCCCCATGCAGGCTCTTTCGTACCAAGAGGCCATGTACCCTTGTTGACAAAAAAACGACTGAACAGCGACAGCTTCTGCCCAACATCTCGACGCTGCGTGGGAAAGAATTGTCCCTCAGCGTTCGGGGGATGTGAGTGTGTGACGAAAAGACGGCTACCATAGTGCCTGCCCCACACAAGCTGGAGGGAAAAACAGGGGAGAGCATGGGAAGGCAATGAGCAATGGGAAGGGGGAAGGGGAAAGGAGGGTGTCCGAGTGGGTTGTGCTACATCTGTGGGACGGGTGGCATACTGCGGAGAGCCCCGCGTGACGGAGATCACCTCGCGGAGGCACGGGGTGGCGCGCTGTAAAGACTCAGCGCATACGGCACGTATGTGCGGGTCGCAATGCCATTTTGCCTCTGACGGCCAGTGTACGCCTCGGGAGCCTTGGAGATCGTCCTCACGCCTTGGGACGGAAAGTCAACATCAAAGGCATTGGCTCTTATACGGCTCACGGCCACACGTGAAGTCCCGACTCCCCATGCCCTCTCCCCTCGATCCACCCTGTCTCCTCCACTCGCCTACTGCCCCCCCTCCCTCGTCCCCGGCTTCATCTCCGCTCCACCGCACTTGCCCGTTCCTCTCCGACCCAGTTCCACCATTCCAATCCACGCTCTGCTCCCCTCTCTCCCATCTCAACCAAGAAATCTGAGGCGCCCGTTAACAAACGAGGAACTCGCGTAATGAACATGACAGTCGCACAACCCAATTTTATGGTATGCGTCGAGCAAGTGTAACAGATCATATACTTATGTGATATGCGCGCGGGAGACCGTTCGTCATTCGGCCCGACTGTCAAGCGACCCCCACACACAAACTCACAACTACGAAATTTATACTCACTCGGAGGCGCGACGAGAAATGTGGACGCCACTGGCCCTGCCTACCACAACTCCCAATGCAAAACATTCACGCAGATCACGTCCGAACCCTGGGGGTGGGTACGCATGCGTGACACGAGTGCGAAATAATGATGCAGCACATGTGGCATGAATGAGATCAGCCGATGCTGACTGTGCTATCCGGTGGAGACACGAATGGAGCCATCGTCGTCACGTACATGTGAAGGCAGGCGATGCAATTACGAAGTACACGCAGAGTAAATGCGTACCACCACATGAGAATCGGAAGCGAAACGCGCAAGAACCCCCGCGGCTCACACTTTCAAACCAGGCTACCAGCCATTGAGCGGCCAAATCCATCAACACGTCGTGCGCCAAAACGTGGGACCTAATCAGCCTCACGCTTGCACTTCCCACGCATCCCGCTTCGCACCCAAAGATAGTGATACAATAAGAATATCTCGGAACTTGCCCTGGAAGAGCGACTCGTCGTCTCCCAGCCCCGCGCTCCACTCGCTGCTCATTTGGCACGCGTGCGAAAACAACAGTATGACAACTCGAAGGAAACATGGGAACATGATATACCAATATCCAGGGCGAGGAACCGAAGGAATGCGAGACATCGTGTCAGTATGAAACAAACCAATGCGCGGCCATGAAAACCCGCACGTTAAGAACAATACCGAATACCCGTCAACACAAAACCTGGCCGATCCCGTCACTGTCCTGAGGCTGGCAGCTACATACATCCTGCTGGCCAGGCTACGAATGTGCACCGACCCGCTGCTCGGTGGTCCCGGCCAGGCTCGACTTCGGCGAGTACCCGGCGTCCCCAGAGCAGGTCAGAGCGAGAAAACATCCCGCAGCCGCCCGCTCTTGACAGCGCCCCCTGCCTCACATCTCCAAACAACTAAGGGCCGTAAAATGATGAGCACGCCCAACCGCACACATGAACATGCCGCCAGCTCGCGAGCCCGCCAGCACGTCACCAACGCTTGCGCAAGTGGGGAAACGGCAAGGTGCGGATACCGCGGCTCCCTGGACCTCTCCCGGCGTGCGACCTGATTAGAATTTGGAGGCGAATCCAGTCGAGGCGGCAAGGGCCTCCCAGAGGGCCCACAAGGACGACAACGATGGAAGGATAGCGGTGTCGGTACCTTGCCCTCGTCTGAAACGATGGCCGGTTTTGGCTTTCGGGCTATATCTCAGGTCTCTGGCGGCCGTTCGGGACGATCTGAACACCGCTGCAACGCTCCTGGCGAGGCGCACCCGCAAGCCACCTGCCTGCGCGCATCGCGCCCCGAAACAAAAACGGAATAGACCCAAACTCTCGGAATTCCGCGCGGAGCTCTTGGATGGGCGCCTGGAGCAGAAGGCGGAGCCAGAAGAAGGGCGCTCCGTGGCAACCAGCAACGGGTCTGGCAGCCTTGGGCGCTCACGCAGACGCCGTCGCGCCGCTGCGCGTCGCACGGCCCCGAGCAGCGGCAGCCCCGCTGCTCCCCGCCCCGCCCCCGAGCGGGGGCGGGGGCAGCACCGGGGCCCAGGGTCGGCGCGTGGACACCGAGGGCCACAGGATCGGCGAGGCGGTCCGCTCGCCGCGCCCCCGACGCCCAGAAACCTGCAGCTTCGCGCCCCGGGGCGCCGAGCGCATCTGTTCGCTCACCTCCTCCTCCTCCTCCTCCTCCTCCTCCTCCTCCTCCTCCTCCTCCTCCCCTCCTCCTCCTCCTCCTCCTCCTCCTGCTCACCCAGGCGCATCGCGGCACCGCCCGGGCGAAGAGCGTGGCCCCGCAGGCGGGACCCCGCGACGTGCGAGGCGCCGCCGCCCTGCGCGCACCCTGCCACCGGTTGTCGCGTCCTTCGCGGAGGGCATCTCTCGAGTAGGGTTTTCGAGGAGGGCCTCCGTCCAAGAAGGCTCAGGGTTTTCGATGAGGGCCTCTTTCGGGGAGGGCCTTCTTAGGGCGACGAAATCTATACATATCCACTGCTCCCAGGCCAGGCCCATCCTCAACCCCGCAGCGGTGTATACGCCACGCCCTCCTGGCTTGGCCAGGAGGGCGCATACACAGCTCCTGGGTTCAAGATGGACATGGTCAGGGAGCAGTGGATATGTATAGATTTCGTCGCCCGACTTCTCCAGGAATACCTGAGGGGGAACAACAGAAGGGACCGGCTCAGGTGGTGGGACATTCACATGGGGTCGGCGCTGCATCACCGATAGATCGGCAACAAGCCCTTGATTGCGAAACTCTTCGTTCCGAGGCGAAGGCACAAACGTGGCGAATCCTCGGCGGATCCCAACAGGTCGCCACGGGCGGCAGCGTGCGGCAACATGGCGAATCCTCGCCAAACCCCACAGGTGGCAACGGGTGTTAACTCGGCGGATCCCCACAGGCGGCAACAGGCGGCAACGTGTCGAATCCGCGGCGGTCCCCCACAGGCAACAACGGGCTGCAACGGGTGGCAACATGGCGAATCCTCAGCGAACCGCGGGCGGCAACGTGGCGAATCCTCGGCGGATCTCACAGGCGGCAACGGGCGAGGCGGCGGCGGCGAGCACGAAGCCGCCAGACTGGCACTCAGGCCCAGACGACGGGAGGCAACAAGGCGGCGACGGGGCGGCGACGGCGGGCACTGATCCACCGGACCGACATTCAGGGCCAGTTCCCCCGAAGAGAAATAACCCCTGAGTGCCAACACTGTGTGGGAATCTACATAAATTTACATACGTAGGTCCATACACACACACATATATATATATATATATATATATATATATATATATATGGTCGGCCCCCCTCCAGCGACCCCCCAGAGCGCTCCAAGCACGAAACCGCGGTGATCGCTGCTGTCCTCCTTGTGCCCTGTCCAATGTCTTCTTTCCCCCTTTTCGTTCCCTTCCACGTTCCAAGTGTGTGTTTCCTTCCACTTGTCCAATTTCCGTGTTCCTCCTCCTTGTTGCAAAGCACAAGAAAAACACAGTGTTTGCCGCCCTCGGATCAACGAAACACTGTGCATGTTTGCTGTTTGTTTTTTTTCTGGTCCGGGAAGCAACGAAACACTGTATAGTTTTGTTTTTGTTCCCAACCATCCTGTGGTGTTGGGTCTTCGTTTTGAAGAGACGGTGCCCCGCGTTCCTCTCCTCCTCTCCTCCTCCTCCTCCTCCTCCTCCTCCTCGCCCTCCTCCCTCTTAGGGTTCGCATGCCTCCCCACCACCCATCTCGGCACACCCCTCACACGTTTCGTGGCCCCATAGGGAGCTCCACCGAAGGCCCCAGTGGCAGGGTTCGCATGCCTCCCCACCACCCATTTCGGCACACCCCTCACACGTTTCGTGGCCCCATAGGGAGCTCCACAGTCGTTCGCATGCCTCCCCACCACCCATTTCGGCACACCCCTCACACGTTTCGTGGCCCCATAGGGAGCTCCACCGAAGGCCCCAGTGGCTGCGTTCGCATGCCTCCCCACCACCCATTTCGGCACACCCCTCACACGTTTCGTGGCCCCATAGGGAGCTCCACCGAAGGCCCCAGTGGCAAGGTTCGCATGCCTCCCCACCACCCATTTCGGCACACCCCTCACACGTTTCGTGGCCCCATAGGGAGCTCCACCGAAGGCCCCAGTGGCAGGGTTCGCATGCCTCCCCACCACCCATTTCGGCACACCCCTCACACGTTTCGTGGCCCCATAGGGAGCTCCACCGAAGGCCCCAGTGGCAGGGTTCGCATGCCTCCCCACCACCCATCTCGGCACACCCCTCACACGTTTCGTGGCCCCATAGGGAGCTCCACCGAAGGCCCCAGTGGCAGGGTTCGCATGCCTCCCCACCACCCATTCGGCACACCCCTCACACGTTTCGTGGCCCCATAGGGAGCTCCACCGAAGGCCCCAGTGGCTGGTTCGCATGCCTCCCCACCACCCATTTCGGCACACCCCTCACACGTTTCGTGGCCCCATAGGGAGCTCCACCGAAGGCCCCAGTGGCTGCGTTCGCATGCCTCCCCACCACCCATTTCGGCACACCCCTCACACGTTTCGTGGCCCCATAGGGAGCTCCACCGAAGGCCCCAGTGGCTGCGTTCGCATGCCTCCCCACCACCCATTTCGGCACACCCCTCACACGCTTCGTGGCCCCATAGGGGCTCCACCGAAGGCCCCAGTGGCTGCGTTCGCCCTCCATTTCGTTCCCACCCATAGGGAGCTCCACCGAAGGCCCCAGTGGCAGGGTCGTCGGCACCACCCTCACACGTTTCGTGGCCCCATAGGGAGCTCCACGAAGGCCCCAGTGGCAGGGTTCGCATGCCTCCCCACCACCCATTTCGGCACACCCCTCACACGTTTCGTGGCCCCATAGGGAGCTCCACCGAAGGCCCCAGTGGCAGGGTTCGCATGCCTCCCCACCACCCATTTCGGCACACCCCTCACACGTTTCGTGGCCCCATAGGGAGCTCCACCGAAGGCCCCAGTGGCAGGGTTCGCATGCCTCCCCACCACCCATTCGGCACACCCCTCACACGTTTCGTGGCCCCATAGGGAGCTCCACCGAAGGCCCCAGTGGCTGCGTTCGCATGCCTCCCCACCACCCATTTCGGCACACCCCTCACACGTTTCGTGGCCCCATAGGGAGCTCCACCGAAGGCCCCAGTGGCAGGGTTCGCATGCCTCCCCACCACCCATTTCGGCACTCCCCAACACCCATTTCGGCACACCCCTCACACGTTTCGTGGCCCCATAGGGATCTCCACCGAAGGTCGGGGGGAGCTTGACACTGGTATCCTCGCGGTACTCGCAGCTGCATATGGTTGGGTCCCTCGCCAGGCTAATTGTTTTTTTGGGTGTGGGGGGCTCCCCAGAGGGAGGGGGGAGGTGCCGAGGGAGAGGCCGCGGGGGGGCATCCCAGCCTCCAAAACCAAAGAAACAACTAAATTGTTCGTTGCTTTCCAAGCCGTAAAAAAAACACTTAACCTTGCGAAGGACCCAACAATATGCAGCTGCGAGTACCGCACGGATATGAGACGAAGGAGGGGGCACGCAAACTAGGCCCCTCTTCTCATAGGCACCGCGCCACTGGGGCCTTCGGTGGAGCTCCCTATGGGGCCACGAAACGTGTGAGGGGTGTGCCGAAATGGGTGGTGGGGAGGCATGCGAACCCTGCCACTGGGGCCTTCGGTGGAGCTCCCTATGGGGCCACGAAACGTGTGAGGGGTGTGCCGAAATGGGTGGTGGGGAGGCATGCGAACGCAGCCACTGGGGCCTTCGGTGGAGCTCCCTATGGGGCCACGAAACGTGTGAGGGGTGTGCCGAAATGGGTGGTGGGGAGCACTGGGGCCTTCGGTGGAGCTCCCTATGGGGCCACAAACGTATGAGGGGTTGCCGAAATGGGTGGTGGGGAGGCATTGCGAACGCAGCCACTGGGGTCTTCGGTGGAGCTCCCTATGGGGCCACGAAACGTGTGAGGGGTGTGCCGAAATGGGTGGTGGGGAGGCATGCGAACGC